TAAAGACTATGTCTAATTATAGTAAACACGTACTGCGTGCGTGACTCGAACCGGCGCTCGCGTACGGCACTAATCGCCTAGCTTCACGCCACTACACGTCTTCCCCTCGGCCACCGGGCATCCCCAAAAAAGGATGCTTAATAACCGAGCTAAAACCGAGATATGTCTTTTGGATGTAATTTCGTTCTATTTTAGTGTGTTAAAAATATGTAATTTATTCGCAACAGTGATAAGGCTCAACTTAATGTCATATGACGTCATTACTAGCCGATTTTGGCTAAAATTCCGCTCCGCCGCCTCTTTACAACAGTATTTATACGCGGAACTTGATATTGCTTTTTACAATTTGGGTTGCCTTTGAATCACATATTTTAGTGAAATATTGTTTATAGAGTGAAATATTATTGTCATACATAATTCAATCTTTGAAACAACAGAAACTAACACATAATAACGATAATCAAATTTGTGTTTGAAGTTCGAAAGTAGTTGCGTTATTTCCGGTTTCAACTAGTTCGAAAATAGAACGTCCTTGAGCGCAATAAAATCACGCGTAGAACTCCGTCCGAACCAGACTCTAGCAGCGTAAACTTATTGCAATTTGCGCAATTTGGGCCCAGTTTGTTCTTACAAGTTTTCTAAGTTTCATTTATTATTATTTAGTAAACAGGTCTCTGGAACGATTAAATATATCCGTAAAATACGTGCCAATCGACGATTGACTTCGAAACGTTCGAAATTTCGAACAAACTCCCGGCACACCTTGCGCGATATGCGTCAGATCGGTGTAGAAGACGCCGAACTGCAGCGTCAATGATGTCACCGTAGTTACAAACCCCAAGTAATATACCTCTGATACTATACATATATTTGTTGAACAAACACTTATCTGACAAGTGTAAACAATCGCAACATTGCATTTAAATGATACATGCCAAATATGAAACAACTCACTGCTCCAGGATATTCCTAATTTCTCGAAATATTTCCATATTCCCCTTTTCGTTGTCACCAGAGTTCGAAGTTTCCGCCTTAGCGCCGCAGTGAACCATGGGAGAACCCTAGAGGTCACTCGTTGAAACCCCATTCATGACCCCGGCCACATCACCGCTTTTTTTTTTTATTCGAAAAAAAAAATAACTCCAACATATATTGAGTAAAATAAATGAAAAAATAGCACTGCTACATTAGTATATGTGTTAGTTTTGTTTTAATTTCAAAACTAAAACCGAGATATGTCTTTTGGATGTAATTTCGTTCTATTTTAGTGTGTTAAAAATATGTAATTTATTCGCAACAGTGATAAGGCTCAACTTATTAACATATCGTTCTTTTCGTCTGGTAACGTCGCCATATTTAGTGAACGAGGCATTACCGGCCTCAGATATTTGGCGAAATGGTGAGTTTCCTGACAAATAATGAAGTATTGATTAAGTCATAGATAAAATGGGTGTCTACGTATTCGGGATATCATTATTGTTCGCGAAGAACTACCACTTATGAAATAAATATAAACTTCCAAAATGTTTGTGGAAGTGGCCATTTTAGCTGGATAAGGTGGACATGTGTTGAACACATGTTTAGGTTGGACACCACATTCGGTCGCTTCGTATGTTAGGGGGAATCAGAATATGAACTGTGCTACGTAAGACTGACAATAAATTATAACATTAACATTCAGTTCATTGGTTTTTGTCGCTCATAAGTACATCTATTTTGCAGGCGTTGTCAGCAGCACGTCCCCTTATAAATGTGTACTCTGAGAAGAATGAATTATCTGGAACAACGATCACTTTGCCGGCTGTGTTCAAGGCACCCATCAGACCAGATATTGTCAATTTTGTTCATGCAAACTTGAGGAAAAACAGTCGCCAGCCTTATGCCGTCAGCAAGGCAGCAGGTAAGTAATAATCATGTATCCGCGGATAGGTTCGTTAGTATTTTATACACAGCAACACTACCGTACAGGCTGGACCCTGTTTCCGCTGTGCAACCCTGTTCGCAATTAATTGGTAAAGTTGTGTTCAATGACCTGGTTTCATGACTTGACAGTTAAATTTGTCACATTTCGGAAAGGGTGAGCACTTTGTAATGTGTCACCCTGAAAACACAACCCCCGCCCCCTAAAAATCAAAAGTGGGGGTTGACATGGGGTGCCAAATCGAACAAGTATGTTATTAACGAACATTGACTGCAAAGATATGATGAATACTCACTCTATGGTCTGTGTTATTGACTTAATATGATAATTCACATTTTCTGATCTTTGCATTCCCGCAAGCTTCTGGCTTCAGGACCCTGATTTAGAAATTTAGGGGATTTAGAAATTTATGTATTGGAATAATTTCAATTCACAGGTCATCAGACTAGTGCAGAATCCTGGGGAACCGGTCGTGCTGTAGCACGTATTCCACGTGTGCGTGGTGGTGGTACGCATCGATCCGGTCAGGGTGCATTTGGTAATATGTGTAGAGGTGGTCGTATGTTTGCTCCAACTAAGACTTATAGACGCTGGCACCGTAGAGTAAATGTCAACCAAAAACGTTACGCCATGTGTTCTGCCATTGCTTCAACTGGAATTCCGGCTCTTATCATGTCTAAAGGTAGGAACAGCAGATGGATTTTAAATATGCAAATTGTATGCAAATGAGAATAGTCTTTGTTGGTGGTACCTAAATAAGAATTGGATGAGAAAAAAAAATCAACAAGTGGGTTGGGACAGCACCAAGGGGGATGATCGTCAGTTTTGACCTTTGACCTTTCAGAAGAAAAGTAACCTGATAGCCTCGTGATAGAAGCAATCCACTAATCGCTGCAATTTGTACACATACAAATGTAGTTTGATGCTAACTAACATATCTGTATTTGTCTCGGCAACTGTGTATGAATATTAGTGTAAAATACAGAAAATGAATATTTGCATACATAATGAGCTCATTAACTAAAGTATAGCAGTAAGACGAGACGTGTTTGTGTTGTCATGTCACATCAATGTACACTGCTATATACAATAGTACTGGTTGTCAATCCAATCCAATTGCTGATTTATTCCGTGCAATTTGGGGGAATTTAGCAACACATTAAGTAAATAAAAAGTACACAAATTTGAGACGGATCTATCCATTTTAATCATTCATTATAACTTCTATATACACCAACAAGGGCTACTTCTTTGGACAGCCAGAAACCTAGAAGCAAAAAAAGATGTGAAAAAAGTATATTATTCTTTTAACATTTTGATCCTTTTAAATAGAGGAAAGACTACAATTTTTTGTACATGACATACACAAATTGTATTATCTGCAATACAACAAAGTGAACATTTCAAACTATCCTAAAATATCACACTTAGAAAAATGATGCATTTAAGAATTAACAGACAATCTTTGTTTCACCACAAAACTATTTCACAGAATTGTACAATTATCGTTAATAATCGCTAATAATAATTTGTACTCTAGTTGACTGGCACTATATACAATGTGCACTTGTATTTTAAGAAAATTATATCAATCGGGTCCAATTTATATTTGAATGCTGCAGTATACTTGAAATGCAATTTGTGGTTAACATGTGCATATACCGGTAATATAGATGCTCTTGTAATCAACAAAATACATGATGTAATTTAGTCAGAGTACATGTAAGTGCGCCATTAACCACTTTTCACCACCAGACTTTCTCGTCCAAATTTTTCGGCAGTTTTTTTTTCTTGTATTCTTCAATATTTCCTGAAATCTATTTTTTGAGCCAGACAACTTTTGAGACAAGTTGCAGTTTTTACGTTCAGTTTACTATTTTTGTCCCAATCAGACTATAAACAGAACTATTTGTGAATTTGTAATGAAAAGAGGGAAGTGGTGGTAATAAGGTTAATGATTACTTATTTGAAGGCAGTAAAACCATCTCATTACAGTATAAACTGTGGAATACTTTATTTTCGCTGAAAAGGCTTTTTGGGAGTTTTGTATGGAATTTATTTTCACTGATTTTTAATGAGTTTAATGTGAAATATAGGAAAAAAAGTATATTCATTGGATTTTATTTTCACGGAATCATCCCTTCAGCGAAAATGACGAAAATAAATTCAAAGCGAAAATAAAGTATTCTACCGTATTGTAATAGTAAATCAATTGTGCAACCTTGAACACTCAGCCATATGACATATTTAGTGCACAACATAACTCCTGTCGTTAAGAACAATCACTCCTTGGGTATACCCAATGTATACCCTTCTTTTATATTTTAGATTAATATTTATAGATAATCCCACAAAGAGTGTTGCACCTTCATGCCATTGTGAGATCATGTTCACCCATTGAAGCTATTTTGTTAGGATCAAGTTTTAATTTTAATCTTCAACTTATTTTTGATGTTGTATACAGCACTATCCAAAGCTATTACAAACGCTGATTTTAGTTGGGGATATTACAAGTTTCCAATTTTAGATGAATTTCTTAAGATCTGGAAAACGATCAGACCTTATTTTTCGTGTACACGCAATCGAGGTCACAACTAACAAATGTTCATAGGTTAGACCAAAGTATATTGATTTTTCACCCAAGATTTCACTATCAAAACTTGCTATGTCATTTATTCAAGTATGATAACTTATACAAACACTTTGAAGCGATATACCATGGCCTAATATAACATTCTAAACGCTAGGGTCAAAATTACAAAGCAAAACTAAACGCATCAAGAACACAACTTCCCGAAAAATGTAACTTTTCAGGTCATTTGCCTGACCTGAAAGAAAAGTGCCCTCAGTGTCAGCTGCGGTTACTACGTGACGGTGATTATATAGTCTATTTAAATTTCTATTTTTAGGTCACCGCATTGAGGAAATACCAGAGGTACCTTTGGTTATAGCGGACAAAGTCCAAGAATTTAAAAAAACAAAAGAAGCTGTTGCCTTTTTAAGAAAATTCAAAGCTTGGTCAGATATTCAAAAAGTAAGTATTGTGATTTGGTTTTTAGATGATTTACTATATTCGTTTGACAAAAAAATTTGGTAATGTAGGAGAATTATTCACCTAGTGATGTTAAAGATTCTTTCACAAGATCCACTCAACTGTGAAAAAAACAAATTTTGTTATATTTGAATAGTTACTGGGTTTTAATTATTTATTCAGTGCATTTAGCAGTCAGTGAAACAAGCAAATATAGAACCCGATAATATTTACGCCCAAAACATCAGTATTAGTTTATCTATCTAAACATGAATGCAATATTAAGGACCAAATGAATGGTATTATTAGGGATTGCATTAGTGTTCGATAATGTGGAGTCCCTGGGACGCACCCTTTATAAAATGTGTGGGTCCCTTAAAAATATGTGGGGTCCCTGACGCTGCCGCACTTTATTTTACACAAACATATTCAGGCATTAATCACATTTATATTGTACTTTATTTACATGTTCATTCCACCCTTTACATGTCAGCAATCTGCATTATTTACATGGTTTTCTTCTATTTTTACTGTTATTAAAATATAATGCTGCTTTTACAAATTTTAAATCATTAACGGGTTTACCCTCAAGTTTTTCATAAGCCATAATAAATGAGCTGGTGTCAGACTTAACTTGGACTTAATACGATTCTGACAAGAAAAGGCATGGCCACATGGAACCTGCCAGGGAGGCGATCTTGCAAATAACTAATCGATCCATGGCTTCTAGAAAAGTGATTTTTTTTCGCCCATAGTCACTTGTGTTATATAAATAAATAGTTCATTGTTTCGATTAATATTGTCCCCAGAAAACAATGCACCCAAAATTTGTACATACTGGTACTTGTACCAGATTCTGCAGTAAATTCACCTCTGGGCAGTTTGGGTTTTAAAAAAAAATAAAATGAGATCAAGAAATCGGCTATTTTTTGGCAGATTTTATTTATTTGTTATTTAAATATTTTGGCGTCATTTTTCGGACATTACAATTTTTCTTGACGCCTAAAATAGTTTTTATTCAAGAGTATGTTTTTTGTGACGAGTGTGAGTGCTTAATCTTCGTTTAGGTTTGAGTTGTCACTGTAAACGATGTTAAATTAGTCTTCAAATGCTCAGTTTATCTTTTGAAAAATAAAATCATGTCGTTTTCCTATAAAAATCCAAGCCAAATGATCGTACTACAACATCAGTAAATCTCTTCCGCGTTGCGTTCAATAACATTAACATATTTGGCAACGTTGGCGTCATCCACATTTGTATTGGTTAATTAGGGATTTGACCTATTAGGTCAACCATGCAAGACAAGAAACATGGCGGATACTCAACAGCATCGAGCGTTAATTTGCGATCGGAATTATTTGCTTATGACGAAACAAAGTTGAATTTTATTTGCATTTCATAACAATTCAATAAATTTGTTTTTTTGTACATTATCATAATCACTACTGAGTAATAATCAACAATTGTGAAACGCAGCCGTGATTATTTGTTGCTCGGCAGATGTGTTCGTTTTTACTTTGTTTAGAATATAATTTCGTTACCAATAAAATTAGGAAAAAAGTGTATTTGACGTACCGGGTTTGTTAAAGTGATTTTTTGGAGAAAAATTATCCTGGCTGACATTGTAAGATTTAGGCTGTTAAATTAGCAGGTCACAGTGCATTCTACTTGTCTCAGTATGACTGTCTCGCCGTACTCAGACGGGACTTCACATTTTCATGTGAAATGTACCGTTAAAATCTATTATAAATCGCGGTTTATATTACAATGTATCAAATAAAAAATTGGGATCAACAGCTCAAGTTCGGGGTGCAGTTTCTATTACGTACATATTGCAATCACTAAATGGGCATGGTCATTTTTTCCCACATCACTTGCACAAAACAAACAATACACCGTACATCTTTTGCATATAAGGGTAACTCCAATTTAGATGTCGGGGAAGAGTGATAAGCGTCACGTCACAAAAAAACTGTTCACATGAAAAAAAAAAAATACTTTTAGTCTAATGCATTTATTTTTTTAATTTTCTTCGTAACGGAAAGTATGGTATATTCTGAGAGGAGTTTCAAATAAAAACAAGCACTAAAAAAGTACGGTACCGTGGGTACGGTAACGCAATCCGGCCATGCTTCAGCTCACAAGTGAATAACTTACTTGTTTTCGAAGTGTTGAAATTGTTGATTATTACTCAGTAGTGATTATAATAACGCATGAAAAATTAATTCGTTGAATTGTTATCAAATGCAAGTAAAATTCAACTTAGTTTCACCGTAAGCGAATTATTTCGATCACATGTAAACGATCGATGCAATAAGACATCCGCCATGTAGTTTGAATGCACACGAGACGTTACTTGATCAAATAGGTCAAGTCGCTAATTAACCAATCAAAATGCTGGATGGTGCCCACGTGTTCAAACTACCTTGGTTCATTTAAGTATGTTAATGACAGGTCACCGACTTCATGGTGAACGAAACCCGGAAGAGATTTAGCGATAATGTCGTGCGATTTTTTGGCTTTGATTTCCATGGAAAAATGACTTTTTTTTTTTTTTAGCTCCGCTATCGACTTTGTCGAGCGGAGCTTATCATATGAGTGATTGTCCGTCGTCGTCCGTGTCAATGTTTTATTTTTTCGACTTCTTCTTGAAAACTACAAGCCTGAATGCTTTGATACTTGGTGTATATGTACCTTGGGTAGACCTCTCTTAGGTTTGTTCATTTCATGTTGATATCTTCAATTCTCTAATTTTGGTAAATATTTTTTGTCATTTTTGGTAAAAAGTGATATTTTCGACTTCTTGTTAAAAACCGCAAGTGCAATTACTTTGATATTACATATATAGGTACTACATGTGGACCTTTCTCAGATTTGTTCATTTTGTGATGATATCTTCAATTCTCTAATTAATTTATTTTGGTGAATTTTTTTGTAATTTTTGGTAAAAAGTGATATTTTCGACTTCTTGTTGCTTTGATACTATTCATATTGTTCATTTTCTAATGTCTTCAGTTCTTTAATTGAAATGTGCATTGCTAACAGTGGAGCTATCTCAGCCCATAGGCTGCTTGTTAAATTAAGAAATTAGTTGTTTTCGAAAGATAAACTGAGCATTGAAAAAGCATTTAACGATTTTTCGGTGATAACAGCTCATTGTCAAAAACTTGCGACATGTGGACGTATTCATAAGGAGTATTGACAAAAGTTGTCGCAAGAACAAAAGCAGTTTCACTGCGTGTTTGACATCCTAACACTACTGAACAATAAAGAGGTGTGAATATTTTTAGGCACGTTGTTGAAACAAATAAATAGGATTAGGAACAATGTACCAGCTGGTTGAAACAAAGTCAGTCACGGTCTTGTTGAATTGGGGTTGCGGTTAGTAATAGGTACTTTTCATGTTTTCAATTTTTGTTGAGAACACTTTAACACTGAAGCCAAAATCGGGGGTGCAGTTACTATTAGGTATGCGGTTTATAATAGGATTTTAACGGTAGATGCTAATAGGTGTTTTTGAAGACAATGGCACAGTATTTTAGGTGAATTTACAAGCGCTATGAACTTTGTATGCAGGACAATGGCATCACAAACGTACACAATGCCTTTAGATCTATCATAATACGACCGAGGCGTGTGCTCACCGGATGCATCCCAGGGACTCGCCAGTTGAAAAATTCATGCGTCCCACAGAAAAACTATGCTTCCCGGACGCAGAATTCCGCGTTAACGCAATCCCTGGTATTACTTATGGTCAGTCTATCATTAAAACGGACACATGAGAATTGCTTGTCGTTTGTAATTAGTGTGCTGGCTTCCTCCCCTCCCCTCAAAAATTTGATTTGCTATTCTGTGATCATAGATGTCCCCTGGAAAATATTCTGCAATGTACAGTTTGACTAGCGATGTCTCAATCATTTCCTCATTTTTGATAGGTTGTACTTTTCCCATAATCCTTTGCCAGAGAATGAAAATGTGATATTGCTTTCTCCAGCATTAGTCTTTCAGGAAGACTTCCTTGAGGTCCTAACGCTAACACTCCAGCCCCCAATGCATTTGTATTTTTACCTTTTGATAACTATACATGTCTGGAAAAGTTGCATGTACAATTGAAATAGGGGAAGTGCACTAGAGGTACAAAGTTAGGATTAGAGGGGGGGCTAAGGCTATTTTTTGTCATTGCTCTATTTTGACCACAATTTTGAGACATGTACACCAATTTGAATGTAGGTATGCCCAGAATGATGAGATAATTTTGATTATACTATGGTCAAAGGACATTACTTTACATTTACAAAGTTTAGTTATAAATGTAAAACAAGTTTACTGTACAAGGTTCTACTGATGTAAAAATTAGTGTGGTAAAAACTGATATTGAAATCTGTATTCTTTTATTACAGGTTTATAAATCAAAGCGTATGCGTGCCGGAAAAGGTAAAATGCGTAATAGAAGACGTATACAAAGACTGGGTCCTTGTATTATATATGACCAAGACAATGGGCTTACCAGAGCATTCAGAAATATTCCTGGTGAGTTGATGCTAATCACGACTTCTGTCTGAAAATGTGTATCAATTGTAATAAGGACCTTCCTGGTAGTTTCAAAAACCAGATTGAATTGGGTAAAATATGAAAAATGCATGAAACTCTATATGAAAATGTATGGTTGGTGAGGGCAAGTTACCTTAATTCGTTAAAGTTGTTTTTACTGCAAGTTTAGTGTGAAGTAGAAGTATGAAGCAGCAATTATTAGTTCACTTCTAGATAATAAAAAACTACATCCTGTTACCCAGTAAACTCAAAGAAGTTAGTGATGGTATTTACACTGATCTATTCTTGGCTAGAACTTTGGTGTTGTTAGGGGCACTTGAATTCATGGATTGAGGAAAGGCATCTATTTGATTTAATAGAAAGGGCAACTTTCCTCCACCAGTCCAAAAAGTGATCGATTTGTTTTAAAGTATCACTTACTGGAATGAGTAAAAAAAAATTAGGCAATGTGTGGAAAATAAGTTTCTACATTTATTCTGGATAACAATATTCCACAATTTTATCACATTGATCATTGCTTGCTTTGAAATACACAATATGCGTTTTAGCTATTTATAGTCTCTGGCTGCTTCTCAAGAGCACTTGGATGTTGGACTTTTATTTTGTTACTTGTTAGCTGATAATAAATCTGGATATTTACCTTTATCCTGGAAGTGACCAGTTATTTGATGACACTACAGTATGTACTATAGAAGGGAGTTTATGGTCTAAGATTAGGTAATTATATATCCTACCGTCTAACTAAATTTTGCATTGTATTTAGGAATTACACTCTTGAATGTCAGCAAATTGAATCTACTCAGAGTTGCACCTGGTGGTCACGTTGGACGTTTCTGTATTTGGACTGAAAGTGCTTTCAGAAAGTTGGACAATCTCTACGGCACATGGAAGAAACCTTCTAAAGAAAAGAACAACTACAAGTAAGTTAGAAATGTGGGTCTATATGGGTGCTTAATGTTAGATGTATTGTCGGCAAAATTTAGCCCTTTTTACCTTGCCTGTATCATCAAAGATGGAAGGGAAAAATTGATGTTCGGCATTGTCATCGTTGATAATATAGCCCTTTTAATGCTAAGTAACTAAACCAAAAATCAAATCTGAAAGTTGCAGCACTTGTGTTCCACACTGGTCTAAATCTAAATTATTATGCCATTTATTACTGCTATATTTATTGACTTCACTACAATAAATCTTAGTCATGCATTGCCATTTAGAATTCTGCTTTGGGAACTTACTGAATGCATTTAATCTAGGAAGTTTGGAATTTGCTTGGCCACTGTGGCAATACTAGTAAACCAGTGAAAATGTTTCACATCGAATATTGATTTTTGTGATACTCCTCCAACTTTTATCATGAAGTTAGATGACTCGCTAAGATGCTGGTATCATTGCTGATACTCCATTGCAAAGAAATGATGAGACTTTAACTTCATGGTCCGTGTTTTTGATATTCTTTGATAAAACTGAAGTTCTGATCTTTGCTGTGAAATCAATGTCGCTAGTTTTTCATCATAGTACAATTGTAATATTTACGCAAGTTTTGTTATTTCAGCTTGCCAATGCCCAAGATGACATACACTGATCTTGGAAGACTTATGAAGAGTGATGAAATCCGCAGACAACTCAAACCAACAAAGTAAGCGGAAGTTTGTTGTTGCATGCACACTAAATCTACCATATTTAGTTCTCATTTTGCCAGTAGGCTTGAACAAAAATTGAAATTTGCCAGTCGTAATTTCATGAATTTTGTATTCAAATACATCTCATTCATAATGTTTTATAATGAAATCACAATGTTATTCAGCCTCTTATTTTTATTGGGGTGGTGGTGGTGGTTGGGGGGGGGTACTGCTACTCATCAGTGGCTAAAATACTGTAAATTGTTTGTGAATACAGGATTTTTGTTATGGCATTCCTAAAAAAAAAATTGTGAATGTAGCTGACTCTCTGGTCATAGGACCCCAGAAAAATTTTCACTGCTTTAAAATGCGATTTCCATGGGCTCATGAAGTTTGCAAAGATGTCTCTTGAAAAAATAAAGCGGTTTCCAGAATTATAAGCTGCCAAATTTACCCATTTTTTTTAAAAATCTGTGTAGAAGGAAGGAGGATATCACACTCAGGCTTGATGTTAACTTTGTAACTAAATGTACATTGCATATATATTTACTATTGTCTGTTAAGTATAGAAATTTCACTTGTCCTGTGCTTAGGACTACCCACTCTAATTGCATCAAGGCCCTAAATTTAGAAGTCGCAAACACCACAAAATGCTTTAATGCATTATACAGATATTATTCAAAATTACTTCCCATCATTTTTAATTTGGGTTAGTGAAATGTATCATAGTATATACTGTAGTTCACATGATTTCCCTAGGTTGGCCAATTCAATTTGTAGTGTCCTGCCCTGGCTTGCACATATTTTGTTTTAGCTCAGTTCATTATATACTGTTAGCATTTTTCTATTGCGAAGAAATGATGAGTCTTCAACTTCATGGTCCGTGTTTTTGAAATTCTGTGATAATATTGAAGTTCTGATCTTTGCCAAAAACTTGTTTGTCTTCAGTGCTCAAGTTCTTGTTATTGAAAAAGCACAGGTGATTCATTTTCATGTATATACAAATACACCTGATTCAAAGTAGTCTAGAGATGAATTTAAATTTCTTTGTAATGTTTTAAATTTGCTTAGAACACTTTAGCAGTCTTACCCTAAATCAAACTTGCATGGCCAGAACAATTTGATGCTAATTTCTGGTACCTTTATTGCAGTCGTAAGGCCGTTAAGCGCCATGTACTGAAGAAGAATCCACTGAAGAACGTGCGTGTGATGACTAGATTGAATCCCTATGCCAAGACAGCTAAGCGCCATGCTAAGCTGTTCGAGGAGAGACGTCAGAAGGCAAAGGATGACCTTCTTAACAAGAAACGTGGTGTAAGTATCATAACAAAGTGAGAGTGGTTTTATAATTGTATGAAAATAATTTCAGGCATGAAATGTAACGCACAACCTGTGATTCAAACTCGCACACCAGGCTTGTTAACACCTTGTCAATGTTGGTGGATGGCTGACCACATTCACATAACGCACAACCTGTGATTCAAACTCGCACACCAGGCTTGTTAACACCTTGTCAATGTTGGTGGATGGCTGACCACATTCACATAACGCACACCAGGCTTGTTAACACCTTGTCAATGTTGGTGGATGGCTGACCACATTCACATAACGCACAACCTGTGATTCAAACTCGCACACCAGGCTTGTTAACACCTTGTCAATGTTGGTGGATGGCTGACCACATTCACATAACGCACAACCTGTGATTCAAACTCGCACACCAGGCTTGTTAACACCTTGTCAATGTTGGTGGATGGCTGACCACATTCACATAACGCACACCAGGCTTGTTAACACCTTGTCAATGTTGGTGGATGGCTGACCACATTCACATAACGCACAACCTGTGATTCAAACTCGCACACCAGGCTTGTTAACGCCTTGTCAATGTTGGTGGATGGCTGACCACATTCACATAACGCACAACCTGTGATTCAAACTCGCACACCAGGCTTGTTAACGCCTTGTCAATGTTGGTGGATGGCTGACCACATTCACATAACGCACAACCTGTGATTCAAACTCGCACACCAGGCTTGTTAACACCTTGTCACTGCCGATGGATGGCTGACCATGAGACAAATGGTGTATCATGTAGCTCTGATATGGATGTTCATTTATACAGTATCTGTTCTATATAGTAACACATGCACTTGTTTGAAAATGACAGGTGTGACCATGGTAAAAATAAGTCATATTTAAATGATACATGCATTTATGTAAAAAAAACATAATTCTATTGTCAAAATAAATTAACCTCTAATCATCCAGCATACAATACAATTTTTAGTTCATTTGCACACCTATTGGAGATGTGCTTCATGACTGTTTCAGATTTTATTTTTCTTGCATATTCACATATTAAAGCCACTATTCACTACGTTCAGTTACCAATGTAGACTCCTGTCAGTCAAAATGACTATTTTGAACTGTAGGCATTAATTAGTGATTCTGCCAATGACTGAGAGATAGAATCTAGGTCAGGGGAAGTCCCATGACCCCAAGATTCTTTTCCCTTGCATCACGAACTAAGTGACCGAGCCCATATGGCGGCGCCGTTAGGGCTGGATATCCACTCTTCTTTTTCTCTGCATCGAGCGGGGATGAAGTTTAGCGGCTCTGCCTTGATCACTTGCTTTTTTGTTTCCGCTTCTGCGGCATTCGACATTGTAGCTGGTAGGATAAGTTTTCCTTGTCATTTTTACCCTAGTGCCGTTTTTCCTTTTGTGTGTAGCATTTTTCAAAACGAAGAAATAAAACATGATTTTCCCTAGGTTGGGCAATTCAATTTGTAGTGTCCTGGCCTGGCTTGCACATATTTTGTTTTAGCTCAGTTCATTATATACTGTAAGCATTTTTCTATTGCGAAGAAATGATGAGTCTTCAACTTCATGGTCCGTGTTTTTGAAATTCTGTGATAATATCGAAGTTCTGATCTTTGCAAGAAACTTGTTTGTCTTCAACAAGTCATATTTAAATGATGCACATGCATTTATGTAAAAAAAACATAATTCTATTGTCAAAATAAATTAACCTCTAATCATCCAGCATACAATACAATTTTTAGTTCATTTGCACACCTATTGGAGATGTGCTTCATGATTTTATTGGTCCCTGTTCGGACGTAGTCCGAAAACGGGGACTTATGTTTTGCCCTGTGTGCGTCCGTCCGTGCGTGATCACCTGTATCTCGAACATGCATGGACCGATTAAGTTCAAACTTCACTCATACATCACACATCATATGGGACATATGCACATGCATTTTTTTCATGATCCGATTAACGATAGCCGAATAGCGGCCATTTTAAGGCCACAAATGAATCAAAATCACACATTTTCACCATTACGGACCCGGATCTCAGTTATGCATGGACGGATTTTGTTCAAATTTGGTACATTAAACATAATAGAACCTTGATGCACGTCATTTTTTATTTTGGATCGGGTTTGAAATGGCCGACTGGCGGCCATTTTGTTTTAAAGAATTCAGTTCTGGATTCGTATCCGAGACGTGTCTGGATTGATCAAGTTCAAACTTCACACACACGTGGTACATCATGTCACAAATAGATTTGTGCATTTGTTTCATGATCTGCTTAACAATAGCTGAATGATGGCCATTTTAAGGCCGAAAATGCATTAAAATCACGGATTTTCACAATTCCGGAACCAGATCTCAGACGTCGAGTTAGAGGCTTGATGGTGGAGGTATCGATATTTTTTCGGTCTCCCCCTGCCGATCGGAGGGCATCCTCACAATCGGTGTTTTCAGGCGATGGTTTACCCGACTTTACCGGCTACAGCGAGGCTGTGCCCCCTGGGGGTCTTTCCTCCTATGGGGCTTGTTGCGGGTCTCTTTGTGGATCCTCGCACGGCGCCGGGTTTGCCTCCGAGTTGGGGGCTTCGGTCGAAGGACTGTCTGAGCAAATTGCGTCCCTGGCAGGCCAGGTAGATCAAACTCAGTCGAAGCAAGCTGTCTCCACTGTGGCCCTTCAGTGGGCAAGCAGGAAGAAACACGAAAGCATCGCTCGCATTCAAACAAGTCTCTTCCGGGGAACCCTGCGAATTTACCTTAGTGTCCGGTCCCCGCTGTGGGTTTTGACTCTCTTCTTCGGGCGTCCTCAGGGAACTGACCCTGTCATGAGACGCACAGTCAAGCATGCACACTCTCTCTTAAGTGGAAAGGAGACGGTGCGCTCGCGTTGGATATAGCTGGGACCTCGGGCAGTCCCTCAGAGTCTTCCATCCGTAACGACTCGCTGAGCTACGCCATTGGGTTGATGCAGTATCATTGATCCTAGTTATACGATGTAAATACCCTCACCCTTGATCCTAAGGTGACCACTTACGGTTGCTTCAACGCTTATGGGGTCACTGGCGTTGGGATCCAAAGCAACCCTGCCGGCACGTCTCTCCCTGTTCGGCCGAGTGGGGCGCGCAAACATTGTTGATGGGTGGACGTTGGTCAGCCGCGGAGGAGGTAATACTTAAGTCTCTTGGGTGGGGTAAAATCTTATGCAATACTTTCCGCTGGACCAATCGCTACCCGGTCGGTGTGGTTTCGGGATCAGACCCAAAAGTCTGGGATGAAACCAAAACACCTCCCAACCGGATCCCAAGGCTCCTTCCCCAGACCCCGGTACCACGATGAGCGTTCTCGCCAGCTCAATCTGAGACGATCCATCACACCCTGAGGGCAGAGTTGCTTGAGTGCATTATTTAGACTGGCGTAGTAGTAGTTTTGTAGTTTAAATAAAATAAAAAAATTCGCGAAATGGAGGTGTTAGTGCGAAATCCCCTGTAACTGCGAAATCACCCAGACTGGTTTATTCTGTATGGCCCTCTATCGAGACTGCCCGAACCTGTCGATTTTTCAACGGGTAATTATGGTAATGAGTGTTCTAATTGACTATCATCTAAGCCAATCACGTCTCTTCAACTGACCTCTGACCGAGAAGACATCGGCTGATTGTAGCAGCTGATTTTTTTTTTTTTTTTTTCATTCTATGACTAGTACGAGTTACTATTTTACACGTTGTGATGAATTAAAAACGACTACTACGACAAACTTAAATTTCAACGTGCTGCCATGTTGGGTCTGCAGTGTGACCTTTACAATGTTGACCTCATTATGCACGTATTTCCGTGCCCACCTCATTATAATATGTGCATCATGAATATTTAATAGCAATGAATTTCCTACAGAATAAACCAGTGATTTCGCACTAACACCTCCATTTTGCAGATTTTTTTTTATTAGCTCCGCTGTCGACTTTGTGCAACAAGGTGCAGTCTTAGACGCGCATTTTTCGCTGGCAAACTGAGTCAGGCGGTACATCTCCACCTCAGTGACGCAGACTGGAAATCTTCCACCCTCTTTGTTCGGGGAATGGCGGGTGCAGTCTCGGAGCTTCGGAGTGCATTGAACCAGAGGGTTCAGATTTTATTTTTCTTGCATATTCACATATTAGAGCTACTTTTTATGGAATGTCATTCTCTGGTTTCAAACCGTTTTCATGTTACCAAGGACAATGTGCTGCTATATTGCATCCACAATTGATAATTTCATAAGAAAATGAAAACAGTTTTAATTCATTGGATATAATCTGTGTTTTTTTGCTAGATTTCTCCTAAAGCTGCTAAGAAGCTGAAGAGAAACAAGGGCAAAGCAAAGGGAAAGGGAAAACCAAAACCAAAAGGCAAAGATGATGGAAAAGGCAAGGCTAAAGGAAAAAAATAAATGCTCTCAGTATTCAGAGTCAAAATAAAATGTACTTCTGACCACTTGTAATGTCATAGATGGATAGAAGGAATAAATAAATGCATGCAAACTTGTATTGTTTGTTTATATTGCTGTAGGTATGGTACTGGAATTGTACTTCCCATTAACAATGTGAAAATATAGGACAGAGCCAAAGATTTTAGTTAAAGTTGTAAACCCATATTTAAGAAACTTTGAAGATTGGCCTGATTAGCTAGCCAATCTGGTTTAACAGCCAGACCAATCAACAGTGTGCATAAATCAACCACTTGTCTTTTTAGCTCCGCTTTCATGATATCTTCAATTCTCTAATTTTGATGAATATTTTTATCATTTTTGGTAAAAAGTGATATTTTCAACTTATTGTTAAACCATAATCATTTATGGGTGAAAAATGATATTTTTGAATTCTTGTTGAAAACGGCAAGTTCCATTGCTTTGATACTATACATATTGTTCATTTTCTAATGATATCTTCTGTTCTGTAATTGAAATGTGCTATCTCAGCCGAGAGGCTGCTTGTTTGGTATTTGCCCCAGTTACAAATTCCCTTCAATATCAATCCATTTCAAAAATGTATCTTTACTAAAATAGTGCTCCCAAATCAGCATTTTGGGTATTCTGTTTGAAATACTGGCATGCCCAAAGTATTTACTACATTGGCTGCAATCCCCATTTAATTTGGCCATTTGTGGTGGCATGCTGCAGTATACAATGTTGGTGTACCTCTGGCAATCCACCACTCCATTCGAATAGTTGTGTGAAATTTTATAGTGCAGTACTTAAAAGCTTGGTTACTTGAGCCTTGCTTTGTACATGCCCTGTGATGTCACCAGATTGCACATTGATATTTTGTCTAGGTGCATGGAGAAAACTAAATCGTATTCTAGACGTGCGTCAGAGGCACATGGTTTCTTGGGTAACCAGTAGTAATGTCCAAATTTATCAATTGTGAAAGAAGATTGAGCAGAGCAATAAATAAAATCCTAATGTCTATAAACGAATTCAAGGAAACCAAATGTATCAGAAATAACAGTGATGACAGAAATGGTACTTTGGTATAAACATGGGTATAGATTTTGCCACTATCTAGGTATAAAAATGGTCACACTCGGGGGGGGGGGGGGGCACCTCCCTACCCAGCTGTGTATCAACTGCCCCAATGTTTTCAAAAAATGGATGACAGTGGTATGTTTTCCCTCGCGCGTTGTCAGCTGTTTTATCAGTTACGAAAGCCGAATGCTCCTTTCTGAGCATTCTGTGTGCAGCCTGAGAATGGAAATATTAGTATCCAGATGACAGCACGTTCTGAGAACAGACAAGGGGAAAAGATTATGGAAATAAAGTGTGGTTTAAAAATGCTTCGTGGCAGATAAAGTGATCTTAACTTTTCAAGGTATAATGATGGCAGCTTACCTGAGGAGAGAAGGATAAACAGAAACTAAAAAATGAGTTTGCCGGATATGCATTCGTGAAAATTTATTTGTAAATTTACTTTAACGATGACTGGAAAAACACTTTCAAATTGTGGGAAAAGTAGGCTATGAAGGTGTTTGTAACAGTTGTATGGAAATAGAATTATTGATTTGACAATTTGGAAAAGTAGTCTGAATGTTTTCGTAAATTTCACTGAACACATAAACACGGAATACATTGTATTTAAGCTCTATCTTCTTTATTGAAAACCACATAAAAGTCCAAATGCTTGAAATACAGGGTTAGTCAATCACTAAATCCAACATCAATAAACCGGACCTTCATGGGCCATATACATTTGGCCTGCTCAAGTCCGGGCGTATTACAGACAGTTGGATCAAATATACACAAACGTGCGTATATTCGGTAATACCTATGAAATTTCCATCTACATAAATGATAAACAATGTTGTAAATTTAACGACACTCAGTTTGTCCACCCATCTTAAGTTATACGAGTGACAACTAAACGTGTATATGCCGAATCATTGCCGGCCAAAAGCGTAAAAATACACACCTTTGCAGAAGTAGGTATCATGCCATACTAAGATTCAATTATCAATATCTAAGAGTAATTAAAAACAAAATTTTTCACATTTTCCCACATAATCAAATATTTATAAGATGGGGATATGCAACTTATATGACAACGATGAAAATCTCTAAGAGGTCACGCGAATTGCGAGATTATTAAAAAAATCCCGAAATTCTAATGAGTAAGTCTGACCAGGGAGCTGTACTGAGTCTCATTACAGCTCCCTGGTCTGACGCAGAACTGTGTTGTTCGTGACGGTTGTTTTTCTGGTGTCATTGCTCATTTGCAAAGCGTGCCCTTTTGAATACAACGTAGATCTTCATCGTTTCTCTGCCGTTTACACAATCGAACTTATCCGAGCGTTCGCTGCGTTCTGTGGTGACAAAGATTTGATACAAAGATTTACCGTGACCAGAACGTAAAAACTTATTATTGTAGCAGCTGAACGTATAATAGCTAAATGAAATAATGAGTTACGCAAATACCAATAAAGTTGTTACAATAATAATTTGAAGGAACGAATGTAATCATATTATCTGCAATTGAACAGTTAAGGATACTATCTGTTTTTATGTTGGATTCAACCTGACAACATTAAAGGTGAATTCAAACAACGTTAGCCATGATGATCTAAACACGAAACACAACCGTACTACTTAATTTAGATATGTTTGTTTGTTCCACGTAATCGTTACATAAAACAATCGAACCAAATATCGTGCAAAATTTCAATACAACTAAAGTAAAAAAAATGTACTGTTTGTATCGCCATGGTTACACAGACGCATGCGTAATTGTTACAAAATATACCCATATTACATAATACTGCAATGAAATCATAAGTACTTTAGTAGATGTGTATTTATTTATTTAGAACTACATGTTTGTAAAAATAACGAAATCGGTACCAGGCCGAACGACAATGTTCCGTGATTCACGAAGTGATTAATATTTTTTAATATGATCAATTTCTTTCGTCTTATACCAAGATCGCTTATAAACCTAGTGGTCATACGTCTCTGTGTCTAGTTTAGGACAAACTAGCTTCATTGAGCTCGCCTTACGACACAGGTTTATTATGCAATACGATTTACAATTACTGGCCAAAATCGGAATAGCATGTCATCGCAAAATTTCAATAAGAAACATGCAAATTAGTAACCCGATGGACGGACATGTAACCCCTGGTAACCAACCCCATTCACAGTTGATCGCACACACAATCGCGCAATTGCACATTTAGAGAACGTTTGAATACGCATTATTATTTAAGGGCGGTGGTCATCGCGCCGCGCATGTGCGACATTTGTGTTCATAAACATTGTGCAACATTCACTAATTACCGCCGGTGACTCCTTCGATACTTTCCAATCATCAAAAGAAATTATCTAGTTATAGCTTGGCAACGTCTCAGTTTGTACTCGTTGGTCTGCCAGTGCGTAACAGTCAAAATCGTTCATATGAGTCCCATGTCTCGTGCATGCGTGGTGCGACGACCACCGCCCTTTAATGTTGTGTTTTCTGATCATAAATGTGGACATTTTGAAAGCGCTACCAATTCTTAATATTTTGACGAGTGAGAGGTTCCATCAAATAAATTACAAAAAGCAAATGAAAATCGAGGAACCCGAACTTGTGTACATGGTAATGTTGACTCTGCGATCCCATGTAGCGCTGAACTATATTTAGCGTTCATTTTGGGTCGGAAAATGGGCAAAATACAAAATTTAGGTTTATGATTCAAAAATTAAGCGTTTTCTACAAAATTTAACATAGTCATTCGCAAAGAATAGTATTATAGCAACCTCGACGAAATATCAGTGAAATAATGCACTTTGATTCATTACTGCGTAACATACTGCTGAGTTCATTATTTGAACAAAAGAATACTTTTTTTCCAAGCGCCGCAGACGCAACGTTTGTAATTCATGATAAATCAAGTCAAATCTTTCTACCAACATCACTGAAATTTAAACTATACTATCAGGACTGTTACAACGAAAATGACATTAATATTAAAATCAGCCTCAGGTCTACAGCGCTCTGACCTGTCCGGCTTATTCGGAATACGGTATAATGTCCTTGCGGTACTTCAGCTCAATATACCAAGGCGTCGGTGCAGGCTGTGGCAGATCTTCAGTTGGTTCGTTCTCGGTTACTGGTATCAGCGTGGTATTTCCGTAGTAAATGTGCCGACACATCTCCCCGAATGGATTATCCAGATGTTGTATGTCATCGGGCGTGTAGCTGTTGATAATCATCCATTCGCCGTCCCAAATGTGAAAACCCAGAAAACCTTCCCAAGATGCCTTCATATGGAAATACTGTATCCACGTCTTAATCCCCGTCTGTATGAATGAGTCCGTTTCAATGTGCAAATCGCCTTGGTATTTACGGGCTAACTCATTATGACCCAAAATAGAGTTACAATCGTAACAGCTTACGTCATAATATTTGTATGTTTCATAGAAGTGTGCCAGAAAAGTGGAAGATTTCGAAGCCAAAATTATCCCTGTGTTTAATTTCATGCGATTTTCTGTGGTGGCTACGTAGTCGTATCTCCGCAATTTGTCCAATGAATCAAAGATGAGAACGTCGAGATCGAAATATGCACCGCCGTGTTCTAAGAGCACTTCGAGTCGAGACACATCGGCTTGGTGTTCAGGCCATTTTGGGTTTATATCCAAACCGAATACCTTCGTCGGTGCATGGCGGTGTTTTACTACAAGCGTGGGGATTGTTTTTACTTCTTCCCACCATCGTCCTACCGGCTCGCAATCCGTGTGAAAGAATATCTTGTCTGGTTTCATATATCTGTGCACACTGACAATACTTAAGAGATTGATGAAGTCGAACGGGTGACAAGTAAACCAGATGAAATGTGCGATGTTTGGAACCACGTCATGGTCATGGGGTTTAAGGGTGCCGTTGAAGGAAGGCCAGATCTCGTTAACAACAGGCAGGGAATCCAGCCCAAAGAACGGAATAAGTAGTTTAAAATGTCGAAATTTGATCAAGCTGACTTTCCCTTCGAGGTATAGCATGTGGTAGACAGTGAAGAAC